AAATTGTTTTTTGTTCTTTAAAAATCTACATCCTTTTCTTCCAAGAGGTAAAGAAGAACTTAAAAACAAAAGAAAATGAAATCCCATTTCATCATGATAGAGGAATCATCAAAGCTGAGCAATTCTTAATATATAATTACATAAGGTCAACCATTTAAATCATAATGCAATGTAGAGGAATAGTTCCACTTTGCCCAATAAATTTTGTTGCATATGAGAAATTTTGTATTGTAGAGGAAATATATCTTCCAAACAGACAGATGGATGCTTGCAATTAAGTTCTTAATTATAATTAAAAGTGCTAAAGCTATTGACATAATATTTTAAGTTTCTAACCCTTAATTAATATTGGTCTTAAGTACCAAGGCCCGCCTCCTATAATCACGGCTTTAATCCCAGTGAGGCAAATAGAAATCAGAGCCCAAATTCCAATAGTAGTAAATTCTTTGGCCCCAGTACTACCAATTGCAAGGCTTTACACCTGGACGCTTACTTCCGCGGCTTCACGCCTGCACCTTCCTCGAACTCTCTTAATGCTCTCTTAAAATGCAGAAACAAACCCCTTGGGATTAACGGTTTTCAAATCTCAGAGATTGACCTTATTCCCATTTTTCGTTGCTCAATACTAATGCATCACAACCCAACGCGTTAACACTGATGATGGGTTTCGATCAAACCTTGAAGCATTTCTTCGCTTTGCTTCTCATCCTTTTTGTCTTCCTTATCGTCGCCTTCGCTTGCCCTGCATCATGCAATGAAATCCTACCCAAGAATACTCCTTCCAACCAACCTGCACCCGCGTACCAAGTGTTGGACATCAAGAACACCACGCCCTTCTTCTTGAACAAGCAAGAATTCGACAAGAAGAGAAAGAGGAAGATGAGCAGAAGAAAGACCGGCAAGAAGCACTTCAAAGCGAGGCCTTTCTCTGTGATGCTTCCAAAGGGTTTTATCCCTCCTTCGGGTTCATCTCCATGCCACAATGACAAGCCCGACTCTTCGGTTGCCCTTTTCTGTGGCCTCTCCGCTGCAAAACCATAGAGCTCGGTAACCATCTCATGATGTTTCATCTGAAACTGAACAGATATAAAGATACATGGTTAGTGCAAGTGGAATTTTGTTGTGCTTTTCACCTTGATTTTGAATCTTTCTTCATCTCCTTTTTGCTTTGAGGTCTTGATATTCAATCGAGAAAGCTATAAATCGATCTTGTAATGAGGGAAATATAATAAAACGTGGAAATAGTATATAGATATATAGTATTAGAGTTTTGCAATTCCTTCTGTTAATCTTTGCCTCTGTATTCCATGCATTCTCATTGCATATAAAGCCCTGCTCCGTTCAGGGAAAATATACAGTGTAACATGTCTAGGGATTTTATTTTTATTTTTTTTGCATACTTGGTTAACTATTTTCTGGTATATATATGAGTATCAGAATATATGCTTTTTCTCTGTTTTTTTTTTTTTTTGAATATTTGCTTTGATATATATGCTCATTCTGAAAAAATGGTATGAGAAACGCAAGATAAACGCTGCAATAGTTTCTATATGCTACCTTTCTTTCTCATTTAAAATGTATCAGACTATATTAGGTAAAAGGCAAACAAAAAATTTCAATCTCGATAAGAAGATACCAAAAACCAACTTGTTATGTGTTACATTTTGCAAGTGAAAAAGCTAGCTTTGGGTGAAAATGATCAAGTAAATGACTTATATTTGGACTAAACTCTTGAGAAATATGAGCTTGGTTTCAAATAATGCTTACAAATCCAACAATGGAGAAAAAAAATGCCAGTTACAGGAAGATACATGTTCAAGATTCGAGTGCTTTAAATGACAGTACTGCTTTTTTCGGCCAAAAAAAAAATGATTTCCTTTTGACTTTCAACATTTCATTTGTCAAATTCAATCTGAACTCTGAAAAGAACCTAATAGCCAGCATAAATTAATTGGCCACCAGTCTAGATATCCCAATTCTACGACTAAGATGTCTGTTTCTTTGACATGTTAGTATGTTTTCCATTACTCATATATATAAGCCGAGAAAATTGGAAGGAGGCATGTGGATTTGCATCGTTTGCAGGGCTCTTGTCTCATGGAGAAGGAGCTTTTTCGTGGCGTGTACTCCATGCATGAAGTAGGAAATATGGGTTTTCTTTCCTAGCAATTGGTTGAACTCATATAAATCAAACTAGCTAGCTAGAGAATTTGTATGCCAAAGAATATATATAGCAGTCTTATTTCATGTCCATTAATTTTTCTTTGAAGGAACAAATTAATTAATTTGATTATATTAAGCTAGAATTTTTATCTTCGGACGATCATGATGATATTTGTTCATCAAATTAAAAACCAATAGCTTTTTCATGGAGATGGGTTTTTGTCGGCTTCATTATATATTAGTGCGTGCCAACAAAAGGTGCGCCTGTCTTGCTAAAATGATACCTAACTACAGTAGTAAAGCCTAGAAATCATCGTTCCCATGGGGTTTGGTCATCTGGACCTAACTCTCTAATCCTTGGAAATTTAAACACATTAACCACATCTTCCGCTTGTTAAACTTTTAGGAGGGGAAAAGGGAGGTCGAGAACTGATCAGATCTACAACTCATGAAAGTTCTTTTAATTTTGTCGTTAAATAATAGTTAAACGTTCCAAGTTTATTAAGAAAATTTTGAGTTATTATATTCGTTGCTAAATGTGTTCTTGGGCTGAGCCAAGAGTCAAGGTTTTATCCGAAACTCTTGCAGAATTTGAGGAAATTTATCCCTTAGTTACCGTAGTACCTAAAAGGGAAAAACAATCCATCTTCAAGACCATCTCTCACGAACTTGTAATTGTGACAAAATATGTTTTTATATTTATATTTGAATTGTGTTTTAAATAGATAATAATATTAATATATATCATTTTAGATTTGCTAGAATCGGACTTGAGTTTCAACAATAGCATGTTCAATCCCAGCCTAAATCAGACCAACTTGTGGGCGGAGATTCATATCTTGGCCCACGGCAAGCGTAGTTAACTTCCTCGCAGAGAAAGACAATTTTTGCCATGGAATACCGAAAAGAAAGATAAATTTGATTAAAGGAACTCAAGGATTGGTTTTAAACCATGAAATAAAATTTATTTATTGGTATTTGAAAACCAAGCAATCAAATTAAATTCAAAAGTAGATAAAGTGATTTCATTCATGCTTCTTTGGTTGCTGAAAAATCAAAGACTGCAAGTCTTAGAATCTTCATAGCAACCAGATATATTGACGGTAGGATATGGAACCTGTACCACCCAAATCCACACCTGTCTCACACCACTTCTGAGAATCCTAGGTTGTATGCTAAGGGTCGGTACTGTTTTTCTTGTCCTCTTCTAGCTCAAAAGCTGAAATAGGGAAATGCGCTCTTAAGCCACTGGGAACAGCAAAGAAAATCTTGCCAGAAGAAGGATCTTCGATGAACATGTCAGAAATGATGACCCAAATAAACAGCTCCTTACTCTTGATGCCTGTCAGTTTTTTAACGCGACCATTCTCTGCAAAAAAGGTGATCTCAATATCATAGGAGACTACCTTATTAATGCGCTTGAATTTGTGCTCTTTCTTGCTCTTCAGCTTCATACAGACAAAGCCAGTTGATCGGTCACGTCCAAACTCAACAATTTCTACAGGTATGATGCCTTTGGGGAGAGAGATCTCCTCTAACAGCTCTAAACATTTTTGCTTGCAAACATCTTCGCCGTAGAATATCAGAGCTTTCTGTCTGTGACTCTCAGTAACTTTCGATAATGCCATATTAAGGCCCTGAGTTTCTTGTGGAAATGACAGCGAAATTGGGGGGGCTTTTATATCGCTTGGCAATGAAATTTCACTGTTTTCTTTTTCTCCTTTTTTTCTATAATTAAGATCCTAGCCTGTCTGCATTTTTTTTTAAAATTAATGCCATAGAAGAGTCCGCAAAAACACTATGACGTTTAGGTGAGAACGGCTAAGGCATCTAAGCTTGTAGTGTAGCCTCAGCCTACATCTGCTTGACAATGTAATACCCCGGAAGCCCAATCTAGGCCCGAGCAGCAGCTACTATGGAATTTTAATTTTTTTTTTTCAAAGAGAGTCGGAAGAAGTTTGAGTTTTAATTTGAGATTATCATTCATATGACTGCAATTCTCAAAATATTGCCAAGTTCCAGGCAACTATATAGACATGATCTGACCAGTCAGTTTGATGCCTACATCTGTTTTCCCTTTTTTTACTGTGACCTTGTCTTGTATCATGATCTAAATTAATTTAGATCCAATGAAATTTCCACTGCAGTAGTTTCTTGCTTTCTTTTCCCTTTTCTGCCGGTAGTTACTCACTGTGTTTAAAGCACGTGGCATAATTAATGTTTATCTCCACTTAATTAGAATATGCATGGGTGAAACATATATATGGGTGAGTTAACAGTCTTGAATATTCTGGTAGGGATTGCTTTCCATTATCTACTATAGAATCTGAATCAGGTCTGATTTTGAGAGGACAATGCAGACTTTTTCGAAGCAATCAACACTAAACGGCCTCAGATTAAAATTGCTTCTTGTTTCTGATCGCTGCAGTGCAATTCTTTTTTTTTTTCTTTTTTGTAAAGCAACGTGATGATTATAGCTCATTCAGAAATAACAGAGAGTCTGGGTAGTAAATCACCCAAGAGAACAAGGCAGGCCAGCAACTCAGTTAAAGCTAATGACAAGCTGCAGGCAGGCTCGATAGGATAGATCAACGCAATCACACAATGTAACAGAATTCTAATTCAACTAAACAACAGAGCAGAATAGCAGCGCAACAAACTTTTGGACAGATGCCTCACTGCCCCACTTCCACACACAGGGAACCCCAATAGCTGCACCGGAAATTTTCCCACCCTACTAAATTGGTAGCAAACACGTGCAACCTAGTTTTTAATCAGTAAAAGGTTAATGAGGAAATTATGAAAAATAATTTTTTTATAAGCTTAATTTTAAAATATTATTTATTATCATTTTAATTATTTTTAGTCAATTTTTGACATGATTTAAGAATAATACTGTTAAATAAGTTTAGATAAATTAAAATGATTTTAGTTTTTTCTATCCGGCTATCCAAATAAAAATTTTAAAATTAAATCTCAATTTCTCTTTCTTACCAAATATTATTTATCTCATCATCTAATTCTTTCTCGTCATTCCAATAAGTAGAGATTTGACATCAAGTGTTTTAAGTTCTTAGATTTATTGGTTTATTCATAAAAATTTAAAATTGAAAGGTCGAAATTGATTAGACATGTGTAAATTAAAACATTGTATGACTTTAGTAACTTAAACCCAACTGCGAGTAGCCTTGAGATTGATTAGACATATTTATAAATTAAAACATTGTATGACTTTGGTAACTTAAACATGACTGTAAGCAGGTAAATCAATTAGTTATTAAATATTGCATTATTGATTTTTAAGTATTATGCCACTAGTTTTTAAGTATTACGAGATTGATGTTTAGGTATTGTATAACTTAATCATTACGTCTCTAATTTTTAGACATTGCGTGACTAACCTTTAAGCATTACGTGACTGATTTTTAAGCATTACGTGACTAACCTTTAGACATTACGTGACTGATTTTTAGATATTACGTGATTAGCCTTTAGGCAATACTTAAGTCACATAATGCCTAAAATCTAATCACGTAATGCTTTACTAACTAGTCACGCAATGACTATCAATCAATCAAGCAATGTCATATCAACTAGTCACGTAATGTCATATCAACCAGTAATGTAATATCTAAAAATCAATCACTCAGTGTTTAAATATAAGTCATATAATACCTAAAAATTAGTCACATAATACTTAAAAACCAATCATATAATATATGCTTATTTAGTAAAGAATGCTCAAAATATTTAAAAATTTTTCTTCATATATTAAAAATCACATCAAAATACTTAAAAATGCTCAAACGTTCAAAAGTTTTTCTTCGTATTTAAAAAATCACTCTAAAATACTCAAAATGCTTAAGGTATTTTTTTTTTATGACAAGAATTACTCTAGATATAAATGATCTAAGAAAAACTCAAAAGATATGAATGGGTTTGAGGTACGAATATAAATATATGAGTTAATTTTGTTAAAGTTTTAATTAAAAATAATAAAAATTATAAAAAAATTATTTTTAAAAACACTTTAGATATTAAAAATATTAAAAAAAAAACTCAAGATCAATTAGCTTTTAGACAAGACAATTTTTTTTTATGGGGAGTTAAGGCCATTAACTGGGAGGGGCGTGGTTTACACTACTACACGGCCTCAGATTTATTGACACGTTTCTTCTACTATCTACGTTTGTGTACCTCAATATTTATGCCTTACGTACAATGTATAGTTTACGACAGTAATTTCAAAAATTTACTACTCAATAGAAACACCTTGGTTGACCTCCAATGCAGTACAAGGATAATCCTGACGGTAGACGTCTTAAAAATTTTCTCCTCCTAAGACCTACCTACCTGCCGTTGTTTGTTTGGTCGCCAAACTTTAAAGGAATGTCAGTGCATTCTCTGACGATGAAATTCAAGGGTACACCTGTGTATAGGCACAAGTGTTTCAGCTAACCTAGAAGAAAGATAAAAACAGGCCTAATTAATTACAGCAGTCTTATTCCTTCTTCCCTGTGCCGCCTTCTGCTCTTCTTATCTCTTCTTCGACTTTGTTTCCCTTCATTTCCTGAACTTCCAGGGCTCATTTATCAATATACTGCCTGATAGGTACGTTGGCATTTATAACATGCAACCCCAGGGTGTCCATACCCGGATTGGTTGAAGAATTACACCGCCCGAAAATAAAAAGTTGATGAACACGTTTTCAGAATTTCTCATACACACAATCATTTTGCATAATAATAATTATTATTTTATTTATAAAAATAAACTGAAGCAAATGTTCATTAAATCATTTTTGAGCAAACATAATTATTTCCAACATTTCAATAAATATAAAAAACAACAATAATAACTTAGTTCCTCCCTTCTCCCTCAGCTTCAAAGGCCGCCACCGGAAAACACCGTGACAGCCCCGTGGAATTAGCAAAAGTGATCTTGCTAGGATTACTTTTATCAACACAAATATCAGAAATGCTAACCCAGATCAGTAGCTCCTTGCTTTTGACACCTGTCAACCTCCGCATCCGACGATCCTCGACGAACGCCGTCATCTCCGGTTCGTACAAGACAGTTTTGCCAATGGCCTTGAACCGATACTCCAAGCTCTTCTGCTGTTTCAGCCAGATGAACCCCGTGGTCCGGTTGTACCCGACCTCGACGAGATTGTCCAAAGGCATCAGCCCTTTGGGCAGACGCAACTCGCCGAGGAGCTCCATGGACTTTTGCTTGCAAAGTGCCGCCCCTTGGTAGATCTCAGCCTCTTCTCGGTTAGTTGCTATTTGCTGCAATGCCATTTCCTTCTTTTGTGGGAATGCAATTCAAGAGTCCCAGGTCACTCTATATAAGGCGCCTTTGGTGGGGGGAAAGGGATGGAGGGTGGCGGAGTTTAAAAGGGTAGTTTTGTCTTTCACTATATTTTTTTCTTTTTTATTTTGTTTGTAAAGATGGACACATTTGTATGATTTAATTTTCATCCAAACATGTAATGGGTGTGATTTTATTTTATATTGATCGGGAACAAACATGAATCAGCAAACGATTTATTTATATAAGGTTGAGTAATTTTTTCCTTTTGGAGATTGAATTTTATTTGAAACGATAATAATTGATTTTTTTTTTAATCGATATCTTTGGAGTGAGGATTTTGTTTCCGTATACTCCATAAAGAAATTGAAGACTGCGTGACGGTATTAAAGAATGCTCACTAAATATTGAAATTATGTTTAATGAGGCTAAAGGAAAAAAATTAAAAAAAAAAGGAAAAATTGTGAGCTGTGAGGCACGAGGAATGCCGGAGATTTGGTAAATGAAAAGAAAGAATATCAATCTTTCTATTACTAGTCAATATTTATAAAAAGAAACTAAATAAAAAGAAACACTAAATAGTTAAAGAAAACTTTGTATATAATTCAATTTTCAATCATCTAAAAGATTAAATAATATTTACAAGACATTAAACATAAAAAATATATATATTAATAGTAATGACGAGGTTATATATATAACTGAACAAAATTATAAAAACAATTTCTCTCTCTTTGCATGCAAGAATGGAAGAGTATAATCTTTCAAACTTAAATGAATTACTTTTTACTTTGTGCGTTTTATACGAAATGTGTAGCTCTTTGATAAAACTCTTATCTTATTTTCTATTTGCTTCTTGAATTACTAATTAACTATGGACTATTAGAATAAATTGTTAATATATAATATGTTATGATAGACTATTGCTCTGAACTGTTAAAATATAATATGTTATGATAAGCTTAGATTTATATTAAAACTTAATAAGTTTGGGTTAGTAGACTCATTTTAATTTTTTCAAATTTGATAGGCTTAACAAATTATGTTAGAATTTGTATGATACATCAAATGTTAAAGGAATATATATATAATAAATAAATAATTTTAAAATTTTTGAAGAGCTGTTGTCCCATTATAAGATCATTTTATTATTTTTTATTTGTAGTAATTATTCAATAAAAATTATTTTGAGAGAATCATTAAAAATATACATAATATATAAAAAATTTTAAAAATTTTAAAGGGCCATGTGGGATGCTCTGCCTATGATCGATCATTCATTCAACTTAAGATCTAAATACTATTATCTTTTTTAAATATATGTCTAATAAATTTTTATTTAATTTGCATTTATAATAGATTTATAATTAATACTGTTTTGAATAATTGGTTTGATTTGATTGAAATGGGAAATTTGATCCATATTTATTTCTGAGTATACGTTGCAATTGTTTGCTCATTTCCTTGTTAAATAGAAGGCTAAAAAGAGAAACAAGCATAAGTTGAAGAATTGGTACGTAAAGAACAAATCTTCCTTTTATGTCTAAAAGACCTACTTTTAGATGTACTCCAAAGCCAAGAAGTTGTGGCAACATGTGAAAAGATTGGATTAAAACCGATCATTCCTCCGTCTAAAGTTCAACCTCCATGTGAAAAGGTTGGTACATCCGAGCTATTGTACTTCAATTGATGGGAATTGATAATTCGTGTTGGATTTCTCAAAAATTAATTGTAAGATTTGGTCCGCAGAAAATGCCACCGAAACCACCGAGAGGGATGGTTGAAACCGAACTGCACTCATTTGGTGTCTATCCCATTTTGTCAGGCTGGCTTTGAAAGCCCAAATCGAAAAAGACGTAACTGATTTAGTTGAAACACAAGTCCAAAATGGCAGCCCAAGTTAGTTATAACACTATTAAGGTGTTGGAGCAACTGGAACTGCTACGTTCAGATTTACTCTATTTTAACTCCTTGGTTGAACTGAAAGCTTCCAAAGAATAATACAGCTGCCCCCTGCCGAAATATCATAAGAAAATACAATATTCCCTGCCAACCTGTTTTGTTTGTCAGATTTTGTTGTTAAATGTCGTTCAGTTGGTTAGTTTGTTTTGCTTTCATTTTCCCTTGTATTTGAACTTTTCTTTTTTTTTCTATATTCTTTTTCCAAAGTGTGACACCTTAGTTAGCGACAAAATCAACTATGGGATTCACCCCACATTTCCAAAAGATATTTCAGGCAACTGCTGCCGTTCAAATCGAAATCATAGCTTGGCCTTTTGGGCCTTTTGGCTTTGGGTCTGGTCCCAGAGCCAGCAGAGACGTCCCCGATTTTTTTAAGGTTGTGCCTGTATTCCACTACGATGTGCTCGAACACTTCCACCTCAAACATGTTCAACTCGAGCTTTGGGTTCATCTGATCTCTCACGTAGGCAAAGGCCAGTTGGTCCCTGGGGTTGAATGCTTCCAACTCATTGAACAATAGGCAGGAGAAAAGATTGCTGCCCAATCCATGCTTCCTCAAGATTAATGCACTATCTGGCACATCTGCCAACCCACATAAAAAAGGAAAAAATATGTGAGATAGTATATAAGAATCCTCATTGCTACGTACTTAGCAGTAAACAAGACAAGATTAACATATTAAGATGCAGATTCAGAAAAATGGATCTTGGATTTTTACGCATGCATGTAAAAATCACACACTTGAACAATATTGAAAGCGGCATTGCTATTTGATAGGAAGCATAATTAACATGCTTATGGGACCCCATTAATTAATTGCTGATTAAGACCTTTCTTTCTTGGCATCTTTTCTGGGACCACCATTAAATATATCTCCAACTCCCTGCATACGCCTCACACAGCAAGGACGTGTTGTAGTCGCCGTCAGGTTAGGTGTTCTTGGGATTATTTTTGACGTCGTCGTCTTCCTCAGATAAATACTTCGCCAGAATCATCAAGAAAATACGTGTCACAGGGTAACCTAATTCAAGGCTTATCTCCAAGGTCAAAATTCGAAAAAACTAATCCAAGCCGATAATGGATGTGCTTTCGAGGAACTTCAAAGCTACGCAAAGCAGTCATGATCTTCTTCTTGAAGCACATGATAAGGTCGGTACCAAATAATCAAAAAATAAAAGCTATAGTTCTAATTTTTGCATAATGATAATTTATAATAATCATATAGCATAACATGCATTAAAAAAAGGGATTTCTGCATAATTATTTTTATGTATTTGGACTGTAATTAATGTTGTTCACCTTAGAACAATAATGAATTTGTTGGTTGAAGTTAATCAAACCATTGTGTAAGTACAATTCTAAAGAAGAAGAGGAGGTTACATATAATATTTTCATACAGCTCAGCTTGTGCATAATTAAAGCTAGACGAACAACTTTAGTGTGAGAATCTAATTAATAAATTTTGTCGCTTCTTTCAAACTGACTAGAGGAAAGAAACAAAGTGATGTTCGTTCCATCTTGCTTAGGCCTGGAATCATCTTTCTGTATTGAGTTATTTCAAAGACTTTTTTCTATTGTGAACAGAGAAAGATGGCATTTTTTTACCTTATGGTTTCTAACAGTATTTTGAAAAGCAAATCATCAAAGATATTACCACAAGGAAGCAATCAAGTATGAAGGACGCTGTGAATTAATGAGATTTTTACCTGTGGTATAGGGGAGCTTATTGGGAGTCCATGACTGCAACCCATTTTCACAGTACGTCTCCATTTGTCTCGTCAAGGCACCAACATCCGACCATTTCTTCCACCTTGCGGTCGCCATAGCTTCTTCCATAGTATGAATATAGTAAGGATGCTTCGATATAGCCATGTCCGCGTTCGTGGATACAACAAGGGAATTTATCAACAGCAATGGATCAACCATTAGCTGCAGCTTCGCGTCTATCCAAATGCTGAATTTGGAGTTCGGGAAAAGTCTATGTACCAAATATTTTGGTATCACTCCGTTCATTGCAGGATTCTCATACAATTTCTTGGAAGAAACTTTAACAATTCTCCAAACACCGACTTTATAGTCAGGTGAGTTTTGTGGGATCAATTTGTGATTATAAAGTCCTCTAAGAGTTATATCATCTATGAACATGAAGAAACATACGCTCTCTAGGGTTTTGGATCCCAGACCTATCGGTTGCCGGATTTTATCGTGGTCGTTGAAGATTGCAGATACTACAACAACTTCGTTGCAGTTTTCCATGGCAATTCGATCTGAATTACACCACAAACGAATAAGTTTAGAAAAGAAGTATCAACTATAACAACATATAAGAACAAAACATAGCTAGATTATGGCATCAGTTTTGAGAATAAGTGAGACAGGATTCAGGATTTTCACAATAAAACTGGATGACAATTCAAAGCGCAGGTCTCAATTTGAGCTAAAAAAAAAAAGAAGGTAAACTATGTAATCTGCCACAATTTGAATAATTTAAACTAGACAATAAAAAATGGAAAAAAATGACTCTAAATTGTAATTCTCGAGAATTCAGATGAAAACTAACCAGAATCACTAACTGGAAACTTCTTTAAAAATCCACAAGGGACTTTCACGCCATTATTGGAATGATTAAAATACGTAATTCTCTTCTGGGTACTCAAATTTCCACCAAAAGTGTCACCTTTCCCCTGTAAATAACTCAGAACCGGCAAAAATGCTGAAGAATTCTTACACAAATCTTTGATCTCATCCACCACCACACCATAATCTGATCACAAAATCCAATACCCTTTAGCCTAAAATCACTAATAATTCGTGAAACGAAAATTGAAAAAAAAAAGGGGCAAAAAAAGAGCTGAGATAAGGCATCATACCTGAGAAAAAAACAGGGGAGGAGCAGAAAGAGCGGTCAGTGGGGATAGCATACTTGTGTTCTCCATAGGAATGAGGGTAAGAGAAGAAAGGCGTTTGGATTGGATCGAAAGGAGAGGATCTGAAGAGGCATTTGGTAGGGGAGAGAGAGTTGTAGAGAGCAAGTAAAAGAGTGGTGAAGAGATACAGGAGAGAAATGCAGAGGAGCTTTGATTGGAAGAACAGAGGAGTTGTTGTGGCCGTTACCTTCCCCATAAAGCGATAACCATTCCCTACTACTCCATTTGATATTTGATATCGTCATGCACCTCGCTAGTCATTTCTTCTTTTCGCTTTCATCTTCAATTTTTTTTTCTTGGTTCTTTTTCGAAGTAAATAATCTCATGGTTTCAGCTCATGATAAACTTGCATTAAGCCCCAAAATAAAACAAGAAAAAAAGAAAAGAGGGGTCGTTTTGCAATTTACTACATAGTTTAATTAGAATTTTTTAGAACTATTTCCATTTTGTTACTAATGAGAAGTTTAAGGGAAAGATGAGGATTGAAATTTACACTTAAATTTTATTAAAAATATTTGGTTAAATATAGAAAGCCAATCTTAATATATTTTTTATAAATTTAATTTTAATTAATAAATAATTTTATTTTTTATTATTTTTAAGTTTGAAACCTGAAAAATTATATTTTATGAGTTTCAAATACTAAAAAAATTAAATTTTTTTAAATTTTACATAATAAATTTTTAAATTTTTACTTAATAAATTAATATAAAAATGTACATTTTATTTAAAAATTTATATCATTAAGAAATAGATTGAAAGTTTAAATTAAAAAAATAACCATCCTTTCAATTTAAGTTTTATAATCTTTAATTTTGTTAAAAAATATAATTTTTTTTATTTTTTCATTTTACATGTATAAATATTACATATAATTAATTTTAAAATTTTTATTATATTTTTAAATATATAATATTTGATATTAAAAAATAATATTTCACTGTAAATTTCAATAGACATAGCGAAAAGTAAGTCGAGTTTGAAAAGCACGTAATTCTTACCCGAATTTGGATTACATTTTGTTTGTATTTTTCTTTATCGGGAACCGCAGTATTATAAGGTTAAAAATCACGAGAATAGGCAGCTGGCCTAACCTTTTATTCAATGCCATTTCCGATTTCTCTCGTCTCTTTTCAACTGCTCCTTAATAAGATTTTCGGAGTAGCCCAACCTAAAAGCGACGAGCTCAGTATTAATCTCATGCAGAAGTCCCTATTACCATCTACTAGCAATTGATCAGAACACAATCTGCGGTGCCGTGACAGCAATACCTAACAAAAAATCACAATCTTCCCTCATCAGGTTGCCTATGATGAGATCAAGACGAAACTTTCCTATCCATGTCTCACAGCAACCATAACCCCTATTAACAATTCACTATACACAAGATCAAAATTCCTATATGTTCTCCACATGAGCAGTGCACTAAACACAGGAAAATCAGCAGAAACGGACAGACTCAAGGGTGCTTCCACCATGTTGCAGGTCATCAGCATTACAAGCATATACCATGACAATGTTTACCTTTCTCCCGTAGTTGTCTGGAGTTCATGCTTTAGCCTCATACCAGTCCCTATTAATGGGTTAGAGAAGCAGTTTAATCTGGACCAGGAAGTTTAGCTCTGAAGCGGTATTCTAATTTAATGCCAGGGGTCCGCTTGCATGCTCTGTTTAATCCAAGAAACTAAAGGATATAATTTATTTATTACACTTGGAAAAGATCGTAGAGTCCTTGAGAGTATTTTCTTTTTTTTGAAAATGAAGTAGATTTCATTATCAGAAACCAGGAAGAGGTTCCCAAGTCCTTGAGAGTTGTACACACCTATATTTTGTTTATGCTTCCAAAACCTACTGCGTACATTCAGATATATAACAGGTGAGAGTAAATAAGCAGGTTTTATTTAGATAATCATTTTTAATAGGATTATGGAGTCAGCCAGAGCTTCCGCTTTCCAGGGTCATATCCTTTCTGGTTATAGACCTTGCCTGATAAGGATTGGCAAGAATCAAAGCAAACTACATATATGGCTAAAAATAAGTAATTTTGAACAATATTAACAAATTTAGCATAAAAAAAGAGGAATAGTGCCAATGCAAACGAGATAAATTAACTTTACAAAAATTCAGTTAGAATTCTTAATTTTTCATTATCTCCTCTAATTTTATTTTCCAGAAATTACCATGCCATTGTTTCAAATGTGGCTTTCTGGTTTTGGGAATTTGGTCACTTTTTCCTCCTAGCAATCAATATATATATATATATAAAGAGAGATTAAAACTGAAGAGTAAAGCCCAAGCCTTGAGTAATAAGATGATCCAGCCATATGCTGTGCATTTCAGAGGCATTAAAACGATACCAATTCATGTTCTGGAGGTTCTGCATCGACTCATCAGGAGCTTCAAGTTTCCTTCTAGATGAATATATATTAACATTATTTTATTTGATTTGTGCAAATTAGTTTCTTACAAGCCAGAGAATGAATAAGCAGGGTGATCTTATCAAGTGCAATAAGCAGTCTTTTATACACTTAATCTCCCCATTATATGATTCCCTTCCCATCCCTCCAGAATAGAAGATGTCGCAAACCCAAATCATCAAACCACTTGTAAGAAGGGAGTGGAGGAGAATATCAATGAAGCAGCCTTGCTTATTGAGTAATGCTGCCCCCTGGTATACTTTACAGTTTTTTGAGTTGTCTTGCAGCATTAATATCTTCTTTGAGATGAAGGACAGCATTCTTAAACACAAGGAACTCCTCTTCCTGGAAACTTGGTGCGTTTGACAGTTCTTGCATTTCATCTCTAAACTTTGCCCAATGTTGACGGGCATCTTGTTCTTTCTGGTTTATCAAATTAATAATAGCCTAGGAATTGTTCACAAGCACAAGTGCGTTAAATCAAACTGACTTATTCTGACATCAAAACAGTATATTAGTGAAATTTCAAGAGTTAAAGCCCCCACAAAAAAAAAGTACATATATATATGAAATAAAACATATGGAATTTCACATCTATCTGCAAAATTAAGGATTGGACTGTTGTCAAGAAGATTGATTAAGAGTGCAGTATGGTCACCTTATACAGAGGAATTCGTGGATCAGAAACCTTTTCTTCTTCCCCTGCTGCTAAGCATTTGCACTCCGCAGCTTTTTCAAAATCTCCCTATGGAGAAATTTCAGAGCAGAATCCATTTAAGAAACCTTTGTCCCAGAAGTTGGATGCATATGCCATTGCTTGAAGAAAAAACGAAATGTGAAGCACATTTGGATGAGGATTTTATCCCAAGTAACAAAGGTATACTGACCGGGCGCACTAAGTCTAGACCAACCTCTATCAATTTACTATGAAGCCACCTCCTGCGGCATTATCATAGCAGGCACTACTCTGCCCACTGCTCATGTTCATTCACAAGCCATTTTGGTCAATCAAAGCAAATCCCATATGGAGCTTTGAATTTGGTCAATCAAAGCAAAGCCCATGCATGAAGAGCAAATTGCTTGAAAACATTAATATGTATTTGGTGAAGTTGCTCTCTACGTTGTAAAAAAAAACAGTCAAAGAAGTAACATTTCAGCAAATTAAGAAATTAAGAAAGAAACCTTGTAGATGTACATTTCTGCAAGCAACATTTCAATCTCATAAGCTTCATGTGATTTGCGCTCCCTTTTGGCCTTTTTCAATGCTTTGTTTAGCACTTTTATTGCTTCATCTTCTCTTCTGCTCATTTCCAGCCTCGCAAGAACACGCTTTCCAATCAAATGCAGAGAGCATATTTAAACTCAAATCTTACACAAAAGTTATAATCATTGGGCATAAAACACGATGTGTATAGACAATTAGACATACTATAGTAGGCAATCATGAAACTGACAATTGGAATTGTAAAATAAATTAAGTAATTAAAGTTTACCAAAGAAAAGAGGAAGAAGAAGAATTCAAGACCAGAGAATTTGGCTGAAACTTGTGACTTGGACTAATAGAGGTGTTCAAACCTGAAGTTCCTTGAAATTAGAATGTTCTTTTCCAAGTTGAGTCTCCAGCTCTTTTATATCAACATCAGTTTCGGTTGCCTTGCCCCGATGCTTCTGATAATCAACCAATCTATCCAAAGCCAGTTTACCTCCATGAAGGGCTGCCAAGGACACGGACCTTACATGATTTTTCTCTGATTTCCAAGCACGCCTCACATATCTCCACCCAAAACCAATGCAAATACCGCCCAGGATGATAATGGGCGTTGCTGCCACAGCTATTGTTCTACACGTACTCTCTTTATTGATCTTTTTAGCCGAGTTTGCCATAAGAGATCTAAACTTTTTGTGAAGGAAAAATGTTTGAACTATGGATTAAAATTTACCCAATATCAAAGCGGAAGGAAATTTGGAGGGGATGCAGAAAATTCGGCGATGTGGTCAGGAGGTACAATTATCTGATTTCTGGCTTGCTTTATGGGTAAAGGAAATCCCCTGGGAATCAGTTGCAGTTCAAGGAAAAACTTCAAATATGCCTTAGCGTTGTCCTCGGGTCAGCTAATAAAGAAAATTTGTTTAAAATTTTTTCCATAATTTTATGGTATAAGCTTTCTCATGGAATCACAAAATGATCAAAGAGAATCTGTATAAAGAAGAAATACTAACGAACGGACTGCCATATGTGGAACAAGCGCTTTCTAGTGTGCGAATTAGAAAATGAAGGTTCTTAAAGGGATGTTACTTCAGTTACAAATCAAATAATAAGAGTAATAATACCTTGCTTCAACCTGTTAAAAGATATTATACAGTACTTATTTTCTTTATTCCTTAGCTTTGATTATTTAAAGATTTATATAACATCAGATCAGCACTATTAGAGTTACATTCCTAAACCCCACTGCATTAAAAAACAGAGCAGTATCCTTCAACTTTGAAACCACGCATTAATCAACTTTTGTCTGGAATCTGCAGTTTCCCTTCCCTATGGGACCCCTACGATATGCCTCAACGTGAGGCTTCCACAGCCAACTTTCACTGCCCGGTTAACTGTTTCCAGACCACCCATTCTTCTCTTTTCATTAATTTCCAGTGCTTCTACAAAGCTGTGATTCTATAATTCCTGTGGCTCTAAGGTCTAGAAGGCTTTCAAGAAATGAAAAGGGATAGAAAAGAAAAGTTGAGAGGGATGGTACAACCATGGCTATCTACTGTTTGTGCTCGTCCTTTTCCAGTCACTGGATGCATGAGCGGTTATAAAACGAACCACGAAGAAACGCCAAGGACAGCCACAGATAATAAGCTTGGTAATCGTTGTTTGGCACTTAGCCTCTGAACCATCCGACCGCTCCAAGAAGGATGGAAACGCACTCTACGGACAATCATCTCAAGCAAAAGAACGATGTTTCTGGTTGTTCGAATAAATTCTGTCGCAC